TGACCTTGCCATAACTCGCTCATTTCATTTCGGTGGCCATGCCATACTGGCTTAATCGCCATCGTAATCCGTACTTTCTCGTTACCATGAAATCGTTAAACCGCTGCCGATTTCCAGCAAATTCCGTGCATGTAATACACCATTTTACATGGCGAGTACACATGAATGTTCTCGTTTAGAACCCATCATGCTCTTACGCAAACGAATTCATGTACTTGTCATGGCAGTACGATGATGCCAGTACCGAGATCGTCTTCAAGATGATCGCGAAATCAAACGGCGTTAAGAACTTCTTGGCTGGCGTGTTTTTCGGAGAGGAACAGCCGAGAACTGCAGCATAAAAATCAACGATGTAGTTCTAGGTGCTCTTTTTCAAGATTGGATTCATCGGAGCTTCGTGAGAAATGGGCCAGATCGGTGTCATGGACGGGCACGTGTAACCCGAGATGGCCGGGTTGAACTGGACAATGTTACCAATGTACAGTCATTGCTATTCGATCTACAGAACGACGTGCTGACTGTGGAATTCGCTCGTTCCTTCATTAAATCACGGTTTCGATAAGACCTGTCAATTGTGTGGTACAGTTTTTGAAGTTGCTGTAATCTCATTCCATTGTAGTAAAGCGCCTTTGTAGGATGATGGAGGGTTACCTTGAAGCAGATTCGCATTCACACTATTGCTTTTCGATATGTGGGCACGATCATGAAATTTCTAGCCCCGCAACCTTTGGGAATAGAATGGTTTGAGAGGGATTCAGAGAAGCTCAGGGAGGGGGGGGAGTGAGATGAGAGGGCTGCGACTGAGAGGAGACTTCAGCTCGAGGATAGGTATGTAGTAACTTGTTGGGAGGTACTGTAGGTGTTCTATAGTAGGAACAGAATAAGCGCTTTTTTTCAGCAAGGGGATGAAATATTAGAGCTGGCGCATGCTTCTCTCTATAATAGATTTTCCTTATATTTTCGTAGTCTATACAGGCAATCTCGTGTCCTCTACAAAAACCAAAAATTCCATTTTTTTCGAACTTCCATTTTTTTCATGGGATCTTCGTGGAGGTCACTCTCTATATTTCATAGGTGACTATGAGCTAGGGACTACTTTTGCTTAGGCATCACAGAATTCCCTTCAATCGAAGCATGTACAACTAGTTTCTTATTCGAGGACCGTGGCGTTGCCTATCGTCATCTATCCATCTGGCTATATAGGGACAAGCCGCCATACTTCGTTTGATAGATGACCGGTCATTGCAAAGCCAGAAATCTTTGACGGTTTGGGCTTTCGTGAAAGCGAAATGATCTAGAGATAACTGGCAAAACATTGATAACCGTCAATCGAACGACCAGACCTAATAGAGTTTTTGGGTTCGCTACCGTTTCGGCTTCAATTAAAAGGTTCAGCTAGCGCGCATAAGTAAGGAAGATCTAGAAATCAAGGTAAACTTTTGAAGAGTTCTCTATTTCCATTTGTTATTCCGCCGACCTTGAATAGAAAGTGGATGGCAAAAAGACAGCTCGTTCCACTATTTTGAAGTGTCCGACCTGAAGAAAATTCTCGAAAATGTTGTAAACTACTGGATAACGGTTTCCTTCGTAGCATCCGGAACGCAGGCCTCTCGAGATTCACCGCAGTAACAATGAAGGTTCCAGCTCCACTTTTCACAAGGTACACAAAGAAACCGCCTTTTCCTAGCACTAAGTATTACCAACATTTGAGAAATGGTGTGGAATAGCGCAGCAGCTAGAAGTGACGGAGCTCTTTATTTTTATTTATTTCTATTTTACTCCTTTGGGGTCACGCTACTGGAACCAGAATTGGCTTTGGGATGCGCTTTAAACCCTGTAATGCGTCCGAGTTTTGGAGTTCTTTGGTTGATTCGGGTAGTTGTACATGCACTCGAACACGTTGGCGATAACGACAGAAAGCAGAATGTATGGCGCATTCAAAAAAGCCTGGTCAGCGCTCATCCTCTATGCTTCAACCTAATTTCCTTGTCTATTCTTCATTATTAACAATTGATGCAATTTCCACTGAAAGTACGCTTTTAAACTCTTCAACATCCTTGAATCTTTGGAGCCGGCTGTCTGAAGGATGGTGGTATTAGGCAATAGTTGAATGAATAGGAATGAAATGAAGTAAATTATCATCGAAAGAATAAATAGAGAAATAAATAAATGAATAAGCGAATCATTAATAAGCAATAAAAGACAGAATCTGAGCTGCTCGGCTCAAGAGCAGGTTTCCTTTTTCACTTTCTCTAGGCTTGAAAGAAGGGAGGGGATGGGAAATTTTGTACTTTCGTTCCTTTTGCTGATTCACATTAATTTAATGCCACCTGTAAACACCAGAATGAGACCCACGAATTCCTCTGGATGTTCAAAATCGTTAAAGTGAGCCACCTTGGTCAGGTCTTCACAAGGTGGCCTGTACAGACATTGCTTCAGCACTATTTATTGCCCCTACCAAGCCTAATTGAGCCATAAAAAACAAAAATAATTCGAGGTGCCTAGGTAAAACTGGCCCTTTCTTGGGGTGTTTATTTCTATCTTAGCTTGCGATTCAAGAAGTTCCAGGGTGTGTAGATCACTCTCTTCGTGTAATAAGACGTTCTCACATCAATCTCAGTTTACGTGAGAGGAGTTTCCATTGTCTTCCCCCCACAAGCCTAGCCAAATGGCCAGCAATCTTTCTTCCACTTTTTACATAGGCTTTATATTATGGTCATAATCCTTCACCAATAAACTTTTCTGGATCTCTTTATTGTCATTCTTTCGGGTCTTCTCACTACCTCATAGAACCAGTCGTAAGTGTAGTATACGTGTTGGTGAGACAATAAGCTGCCAATTGTGTTGGGGCAGTGAAGGCAGTTCCAGTCTCTGACCCCATTCTTCCCACCTCCAGAAATGACGCATTTATCGAAGAAGTCTGACCGTTGGCAGTAATAGTTCCACTACGACGTAGAATCAGATTGGGGGGTGCGATAATCCACCTCTGGTCTCAGTATGGTTCACGCCACGAGACCGGTTCATACATGTCATCAGGTGTTGCCAAACATCGTATAGACATAATTAATCATGATTTCATAGAAATAGAAAGTCGATCTGCAGCTTTCAGACGTTCTTCTTTCCCACGGAAATCATTAAAATCGATGAAGATGGCAAGCTGCTGGTCCCGAGCCACATGGAAACCCGTCGGATATGCGACATTCCGGTGACATGCAACAACAATGATCACACTTCAGGCAAGTTCTGGATTGAAATGACTACAGAAAATCGCCGTGACTACCAAAAATGCTGAAAAAGTAGAACTGATAGCTCTTCATCCACTTGACTATTATCATTTAAAGAGAAAAATTCATAACGAAGATGTGAACTACATGAATCACCAAAACGCGCCTGAACTAGCCTTGAAATAATCGCGAACTTTTTGAAACCTGCTTGATCGCGAACTTTTTGAAACCTGGTTGACATAGAGAAACCGGTCTAATCAAAATTTCTGCAATTCCAAGAAAAAAGCCCTCTGTATGAAAATTTGATCCGTTTTGGCGAAGGTAAATAATGATTCTCGTTAAAGGGAAAAGTAGCATGATTCCAGGAATTGGAGGCCAGGGTGGTGTCATCGAAGTGAAATACAAACTTCATCGGGTTGAATGAATACAGTTGGCGCAGTTCATCGACAGGAAAGGGGGGCATTTTGCACTTTTGCTGATTCTCATCGACGTGTCTAGCCTTGTAAATAAAACAGTGGAATAATGGGAGCTCGACGAGCTTCGCCTCCCAGCTTCACACAAGTTCACATGTCTCACCGTAGACTGAGAACCTTTGTGAAACGGAAAGCTGCTTGAAATGGCGGCGGAAGGGCAAAAGTTGCCCACCTCTCTCGTCGCCTTGAATAGCGGCCCGGACGGTGCTCGGTTCCTGCCTGTCTCCTCCTTAAGGCTGCATCAACCTCGAAGCGCTCTTTCTCTGGACCTTCGGCTGGCTGAACTGAAGTAAAACTCGGACACAGGTTAAGACAACAGAGATCATCTGACAGTACCTGAACCGAGACGCACGTCTTCTGAGAACCAGTAGAACCTAGGAAGGCAAAATGCAATGTTTCTCTAGCCACTGTTTCCTAGAGAACCAGTACTCGGAGGTTAAGCCGCCTGCGCCTTGTTTACACCCATTTAGAGTGGCAATCATCTGAAAACAGACTAAATGCAACGTTTTGTTGCGAGGCGAGTGCAACACACTGGAAAAGGCCATTCTTTCGCAGTTCAAGAGTTCAGCTTGCCGTGCATTCCACTTCGGGTTGGTTACCTGGCCCAGATGTTGATGGGCAGATTAGAAAAGCAGCCTGCTCAAATATAAAGGCTGGACGACCAATCAATGCGCGCTTGCACATTCTGTTGGAGGCTCTGGCGAGAGCATCACCCAAACCAGGCCACGTCTATAGCCTGGGATCCTCAAGAGAGTTAGGCAGGGTTTTGCTTGAATGAGGAAGGAGGGTCGTAATCTCTTTATCGCTTTCATCCTCTAAGTCCTTTAGGAAAAATGTTGTCGGTTGCTCTATATTCAAACTGCTCGCACACACCCGCCCCCCTACTGAGGCCGCTGCGCGCTGGGAAGTAATCAAGAAAAAGCCACTAAACAATCGGAAAATTGTTTAGAAAAGATGGCGAAGATTTTAAGGCAGCAATGCAAAGAGTCGTAGCGGTTGTAGGTTAGTCATACTGTGAACAAACAGTGGTGATAACCAGGAGTCGTATTCTGCAACAACATTCACTCCCAACAGCCACGGACCCCCTCCTCCTGAGTCCGAAGGCATCGTTAGGAGAGGATCATTTCTGAAAGTATATATAACATTCCGCGCAGCTCTCGCGCACGGCGGGGGGGGGGCATTTTTACTTTCGTTGCTCGCTGGCTTACAAATCTCACTCTGATTAAAACTGTTAACTCTTGCGAGCTTGAGCAAGCTCGTCAAGCCATCATGGTAAAAGCTATCAACTGGAGAAAGATGGGAAGTAGCAAAAGTGCAAAGTGCCCCACAGGTAACTACCCGAGAGCGATATATCGCTTCTGTGGAATTGTTCCACAAGACCGATATGCCGCGCTTGGGTCGTTTTGTACCCGAGCCGTTCTGGTTTCCACTTGGCTTCCCTTTATTCTTTTTTCGTTCTTTTTTTTCTGAATGGCTACAATCTCTGCAGAAGGCGTGGGTAATGCCCTTGAAAACTCGAATGAAGGCATGGAGCATTAAATCGGCTGAGCTATCCATTATGAATACCACCCATTTGCCCATTTTAAACATATGAGGACGATCGTCCGGGTGCTAATCAGCAACCCTTCCCAAAACATCTCGTTTTTTTTACCCTCTATAAGATCGTGTATGCTGACGCTTGTAGCTAGCACGAGGCGAGTGTTTGCCCTCTCAGAAATTCTCAAAAAAGAGACGATCGCGTTGTTTCGGTGGGGTGTCGAGTGCAGCGACTCCCATTTAAGCGTTCTCTATGAAGAGAGCGTGGGAACGCTGAAAGAGGCGGCAATTTGCAAATCATCTTCTTGACTGACACTCAGCGGACCACT